GGGATCGACCACAATATTTTTACATCTTTTAGTGATGAATATCAACTTACTCTGTGACAAACCACAACTTAATCAATATAGACTTAAAGCTCATCAAACAAGAAAATTATTCTGAAAGTGTGGTACCTTCAGTCAAGTTGGAAGGTTATAAAATAAAATCGGGAATAATCCTTGATTTTATGAAAAACCAAACTTACTGTAGTTTAACTGCTTAAAAGTCCTCTTTGAATGTTTTTAAATAAACAAAACTTACTTGTATTGAATGTAGATTTTATCTTGTTTACCATGATGTAATTGGTTGTAACCTAAATTAAACATTATTTTAGTTATTGCTTTTTATTCAACATAAAACGAGGTTGGCTTAAAAATGGCCAAACTTAAGTTTTCTAGTTCTCTGTATATAATCACACCATGGTTTCTGATATTTTTTTTATAATTTTTAATGTTTCCAATAACATATTATCTATTACATGAAATTAATGTGAATCTAAACTTCATATCATTATCACGAAATTCCCCATTGATTAATATCGAATTCTGTTGTCAAAGATTTTTTTAGAATTATTAGAAGAAAAAAACTTTGAATAACAATTTTAAGGATTAAACATGTTAAAAAAATTATTAAACTTCAAAAAGGTATCTTCTACTATGAACATCATCAATTTTGTGATTTGAAAATTTTTTCCATTAGTGGAAATACAATAAATATAATCTCATAAATATCTTCGTAACCATTGATTTTATCAAAAAAAAAAAAAAATGTATAGCAACATTTTTATAGAGATTTTAAAGTATTTTAATATTATACTGAACAATCTTTGCAAAAAAATTAATTTTTTTTTAAATATTCTTTAAAATCTATAAAAATATCATTTTTCTGTCCTTCCTTCCATCACCCCATCATGAACCGACGCGTGATTCTTTGGGAATTTTTACCAGTTATTATGGGCAGAGTAATAAACAATTTCTGACAAGTTTCATCTTTATTTTTTAAATATTGGGATTTAAGATTTTCCCCCCTAACTTAACTTAACTTTTCCCTAATACCTGTCAATAATCAAACTCATGTTTTTATAATTAGTCCGGGATACAGGCACCCTTTTAACAATTTATTAACATCTGCGAAACTTCGCAAATAGCTTCATCTCATCGTAACCTACAAATATTTTATTTACGAAAATTCTCGGAATTGCGTGTTTTCAATCTGGAGGTCGGCAAACTTTATCTAATTAATTAGTTACTAAAAAATTGTAAATAACCGTTTGCTTTATACTTGGATCTTAAGATAATTTGATCACAAAATCGATAAAAAATGTGGCCTACAACAATCTTGGACCGTTTGGCTTATATAACCTCATCGTTTTGACAATTTGGGGGTACAGGTCATGCCAAACGGCTTAATATTTTTGAAGGCCACCTTTTTTTCGACTTTTTGATCAAATTATTTTACGACCCAAATGGAAAGCAAATGGGCATTTACGAGTTTTTATTGCCTAATTAAATAGATAAAGTTTGCCGACCTCCAGATTGAAAACGCCCAAATTCTGATAATTTTTGTAAATATAATATTTGAAGGTTACGATGAGATGAAGCTATTTGCGAAGTTTCAGGCGGATGTTAATAATTTGTTAAAAGGGGGCCTGTATCACGGAGTAAATAGAAGCAGATCAAACAAGGAAATACCTAAAATAATTTATATTGTTAGTTATAGGTATTAACATCGTTAGCATCCATAGTTTTCTTTTCTTTTTCATTACATTCATCCATTGCAGGGAAAACCAATTACAAAAAATTTAAAATTCCTTACAAAGAAACTTCAAAGATTTCTATTCAAATGATTAATCTTATGCTTGCAAAACATCATTAATTTTATCTTTCAAATGTTTCATAGCCCAGTTTCAAAATTCTACACCATCTATAGATTAAAATAACACGAAGATGCAGACAACTTGATTGAGAAACTGTGTCCCTACACTGGAATAAATTTATATTATCGTCATACCCATGGGTGACAGACCATCTTAAGATAACCTCTACTTTTAATATTTACTTTCTTTGTTTTATTGTTAAGGACAGCTGCGTAAGATTAATGGTTTCGGGAGGTATATTGATTCAACAGAGAGATATTTTCGCGAGAAAATAATAATTTTAAATGTTTACGATTTTTTTCTTACTTACTAATAGTAATAGCTGTGAAAAAGTAAAAAATAAAAATATCTGAGTTATCTACGTGATTTTCAACTAGGTAATCTGATAAGTCCATCATTTTAATCAACATTCTCTTTTAAAAGTTTATTTAAATTAACAATAAGTTTAATCAAGAAACTGAAATAACGTGATTTTCGTTCCAAACTTTTCAATTTTTAATTTCAAATATTGATATATTCAATAAAAAAATTATTTATATTACTATATTTTTGTTATTACGTTATCAAGATGATTTTGACTATATGAATATATTTTTTTACTAGCGTTTTATAATTGTTATTATATTTATGTTTCATTAAAAAGGAGCAACCTAGTTTTCGCCTAATTTCGATCGTTAGTTCAATGAATATATATATATATATATTTGGAGGCAAAAGTGAAAATAGTAAATAAACATATGTTATCGAATGTTACTAAAATAATTACTACATACATGAATGGTACCGTTTATAATATCCCTTTTTCCCTTTTGAATCTAACTTTATGAAACCATTTGAACTGGTCGATCAGAGAGAGAATTTAGTGACAATTTTTTTTTTTTTTTCTGAAATCGTTGCAAGGAACGAAACATTACTCACAATAGTTTACTGATTTTGTTGAAGTACAAAATTAACAGAAAAAGATAAAAAATAAAATCCGAATAAATATTTAGTTTACGTAATAGTTTAGACATTTTCAAAACATTTCCGCAACTAATCTTTCTTACCAAAACTCGGTTCTCACCTAGTTTCTATACACACATAAAGTTTTATCGAAAAATAGTCAGGCATTTGAAAAACGTTTGAGTCTCAGAAATAGTGGACACAGATGACTATCTCAGAACTTTTTAAAATTATTTTATTCATTGATTTTTTTTTCTTCAAGAGTCTAAAACTTTAAATTTAAATCTAAATTTATTGAGGAATTGCAAATCATTTAATTTTTTTTAAATATATTTATAGAATGTTACGTATGGGTAGTTTCATTACAAACCTATTCATTATATTCCAATATTCACATTTACTGGATGTATTTTTATTTAATCAAGTTGTAAGTTTCATGAATAAATAAATAAAAAACTATTATTTTATTTATTCTGGTAGTAAACTAAATCCTAATACTATCAGATCTTTTTTGATTCATAATATTATTGAGACCTTTTATAAATCGAGACCCGCAGTTAGACATTTTTCCCACGAAACTGTATATTAGCTAGTTTCGGAATCCGGGTCGCTGAACTTGATAACGCACTGTTGAATAGAGGACCGTACTCATTGTTTATCGGTTCTATAAAAGTTTTAACTACATTTTTTTCTCATTTAATGGATACATTTCTCAATGAAATTAAGGCTCAATCATTCTCATAGATTATCACTCACTATAAGACCTAACTCCCTTGGGAAAACTCCCTGGAATCGCTTCAGTTTAGTCTACTTTCGAAACCTGTTCCTGGAGTATTGTGAGCGAATTGAATGATAAGCTGAATGGTAGTAGCTATGGCAGGTCTCTTGTCGGCCCAGAATATATTGCCCCGAAAAAAATATATATAATTATACATTTTAATAAAATTAATTTATAATTTCCAAGAAATGTACTAATCATATTTTTTATGGGATTAACAGAATTTACAGTCACAAATTTCAATAAAGTATATATGTTAAGAAAACAATGTTCGATTTCATCCTAATTCAGTAATACTCAATTTTTTTTTTCATTATATTTACGCAAATAGTTTCATAATAAAGTATTAATAATTATTTTTTAATCATGATGACTTTGATGTTATTTATCGTTTTTTAGCATATTTTTTTCTCATTCTTATTTGCTAATGCATATCCTGCATATATACATTAATTTACTTTTTGTTCCACGTGCTGTAGATTCCTTGCAGTACGGATTGAGAGAAAATGTCAGATATAGAGAACTATGAAGTCGTTTGTATACAAATTTGAATAAACTACTTGTAACTCAATTTATATATATTTTTTTAAATACATTCAAGTTTTAACTGGTCCATTACGTTATAGTTGAGCTGTTATGTCCTGGAAAGATTGAACTCCACTTCATCTCGCACATTAAAGTTAAAAGATGATATTTTGATAGCCCACCAAAAGAATATGTTTTAATATAAAAAGTCTCTGAAATACGGTTAAGTACCGGAAGACGCACCTCCAGTTAGCCGGTTTTGGTGAAAAAGTTGTTAAAATTCGAGCCATAAACGAATTTCATACATGTAATTTTGGTCCCTAGGAACAAATAGGAAGTTCACATATAAACATACACTCGCACACAAATCATTTTGCAAGACTTGATTATTTGAAATCAGGGGGCTTCACACTGTTTATATTTCCTATGAAAACTCGGATTCGAAGTTTGTCACGATCGCAATACTTTCTCTTACTATATTTTTCATATACAGCTAAGTAAAAGTAAATACTGTACTTAGACGACCTGCTGCACTCTCAAACTAATGTAATTACTGAATAATTGGAAAAATAACTAACTATTGAGGCTGAAGTCAATGTTTTCTTTTTTATCAAAATAATGTATTTAAAGGCATATTTTCCCCTTATAAAATATATTCATACGAAGCAAATTAATTTTTTAGAGAAGCTATGTTTGTTTGTTTTTTTTAATGCTCCAGCTATCGTTGTATATTGATTATTGTATTTAGTTCGTGACTATGGCGTGGATCTTCTACTATATTATCCTAGAAATGTATCGTATTGATTAATCATCGATCTGAAAGATTATAGCCTGTTTGTTAAAGAGGTAATAGAGTACAGCTATGACAAATAGTTTAGAGGACTTACCTGACAAGATAGAGGAGAAGATGCTTGGGGGGTACGAATCCAGGATGCTCGCCCAAGCCCAGCTCAATACGACGGGCCTGGAGCCTCCTGCGGGCCGCTGGAGAAGTCATGAGGTCCGCCCTGGCGAGACTCTCGGCGACCTGGTAGGAGTCTCGGATGCTGAGGAGGCTTGGCATGCTGACTCCTTCGCGGAGACCACCTGCAAAGAGTTCCTTCATTGTAGCTGCAATAACAACAGAGCCGGCACCCGCCGCCACTAGATATAGCCTCAGTCAAGGCCCAGCCCCCACCACTCCCTCACACACACGCATATAGAGCAACACCGTTACCGCTAACACCCCAGTACTTTGCAGATTTTTAAATTACTAATATTAATAAATTTGCAAAAAAAAACCTAATGCACTAGTCTTAGACACAAAGAGTTTTCCGCAAACAAAGGTACTCCAAAACAAAAGGAATACGAGAATCACCAACTAGAAAATAGCATGGTCCAGCATATGGCTAAGCTACAGTTTTTCCTGTCTCAGACCCCTCTTCATGCCAAAGAAAAAAATAAATAGATATAGCCGTACTATTTCAGAATGACCAAAACACAACTTAAATGCTTAGAACATCCAAAATATCATTGGTCATTATAAATAGTAATCCAAAGAGTGCATTAATTTTGTAATATTGCATGGAATCCGATAAATCTTTATAGTAAAAATGTAATCAGCTTAGCCCACAACAAAATGTGATTTAGACCCACCACTAAATCCATAAAATTGATTCATAAATGAGTTTGTCATTGAGTCATCGTCCATTGATGACTAATTCAGAAAAAGCCTGATACGCGGAATCATATTTTTAAATTAAAACATTTCTGAGGGAAACTATCATCTAAATTTAGTCAAAAATCCATCAAACGTCCCACTCCAAACGCTTGAATTTTATAGTTATAATTAACCATTAATTTGTAGGAAGTGCCAAAATGTTAAAACTTTATTCATTTTTTTGCTCGTGTTCTTTTTGTACTGTGAAGAAGGAAATCTATTCGATTTTGGTATTTAGTGCTTTTAATTTTTGAATTAAAATAATTCCTTAAAATATTTAAGTCTGACAATCATGTAATTGTTATAATCTTTTTGTGAACAATATCCATTACTGGAAGATATCAGTTGTGTACCTGAAGGGGTAGAAGGGAGGATAGGAGAGCCGGTCCACCACAGACCCCTCTTAATAAGGAAACCCTCTTAGTTAGGAAACCCCTTGACCTAAGGTTTTTTTAATAATGTTGTTTATATATATATATATATATATATATATATATATATATATATATATATATATATATATATATATATATACTATATTAAGCCACACAACTCCAATTCGTGAGCTATAAAGTAAATCTCTATATTCAACCTATAAATGATTATGGATTATGGCCTATTAGTTATTTAACTGTTATTTTCCATTGTAAACTTTATTAAAATGAAATTATGAGATTTTCATTGCCTGCAATAGATAGGTCAAAAGTTGTCACACCAATTTTAAGTGGATAATGCTTGGATTTCACAAAGGGAAAATTCATCAAATTATTCAATAATTTAATTTTCTAAAAGGTTACATGACGATTTTTCGGAATAAATGGATGTTGATAGCTAATTATTTAAATATAATATCAGATCTTATCTGTATTATCACTTTATATCACAGATCAGTAAATATAATCACTAAACTACAGGAAATGTATTTGATGTTAAGAACCTATACTTTATACATCCATGAAATATTTGTATATTTCATTTCTTCTTTCACATAAGTACTATTAAATAGTTTTTTAAGCAATGCCATTGCCTTGATTATAATACTTTTTCTCAAACTTAAAAAAAGTTTACATTTAGTTAGTAAATTTATTTAATTTCCTGGGAAACATGTGATTTTCGTTAAATAATATTTTTTTTTTTAACAAGTGCATCTATCCATACTGGGTCATTGTATACAACATTGGATAAATAATATTAGTTTTCACAAATTATTATTTATAATTTTTCGTCACTCGTCATTACTATATATGACTTTCTATATTAGATATTATTTTTTTCTGAAACTCTCCGCTTTCCAACCATATATTATACTTATATCTTCTGTTTAGTATTTTCGACCTAAATCAACAGTTTCTTTTTTTTCTGCATTTTTCAAATATCTAATTTTTTTAAAAGTTATATTTAGCATTTTTCTTAACTATTAATAATTATTTAAAATAAACCTAGTTAAAGGTATTATTAGAGAAAGACATGTTGAACATTTAAGCCTTTAAGCCAAGTAAAGTGACATCAATGGGGATAAGACCTCAATGATATTAAAGACACTTAATTATACAATGACATACCGACTTTAATCAACATCGTTAGAGCTGTTTTTGAGAAAATCGTAAAAATATATTATAACCTTTGATATAAAGTGGCACTTTGGGGTAGTCGATTTTAACGAAAAAGTTGCTGTCGCATCCAAGGCATATGCATATCCTAAATACGTAATATCAGTTTCGTACGACTTTTTGTTTTTGAACTAGAGTGTTCACATACACACAGGCACCCAGACCATTTTGCAAGACTGGGTTATTTAGGACCAGGGGACCTCAAAGCGTAAAAAGAAATACAAGTTACTAGCTGGCCCGTATTCGCATATAATTCGCATAAACTATAAGTCAAAGAACAACTGATAGAATATGGAATATGTTAATGCAAGGTATTATGAGTTGGAAGAATTAATTTTCGTTTTCTTCGTCGAATTAAAAGAGTTAATTCATAAAAATAAACCAAAACATGTTATTGTAGTCTATATCTTTGTTCGTAATGATCCGATTTCGATTTATTTTTATTTTGTATTTTGTATTAACCTTTTAATTATTCATGAATTTAATCCACCGTAAATTGCACACTTTTCCTGTTGTGGCCAAATTAAGTTTGATTTTATAGTTAATCACTTGACCAATGGTAGTATTTTTCCGAAGATTAAATACCAAAGATATTTTTTAATCGAATTAATAACAAACAAATATATATAATAAAGGATCAATATATATATGCTGTATACCGATTCTTTATTATTTATATTTAATATTAGTCCTACCATCTGATATATTTAAACTCCCGTACAACTAAAAAGAATAAATTCTATAGTATTATGTGAGTATGTGCTTTAAAGTTAATCTGATTTCTGACTTGACCAATGGTAGTATTTTTCCGAAGATTAAATACCAAAGATATTTTTTAATCGGATTAATAACAAACAAATTTTTATGGATCTATAGTATTTCGTTGATTTCAATAATATCGTTTAAAAATAATTTAGAATAATCAACCTGCCGATTCTGGGCCTTCGTCCACATTATTTTATCATTAAGATAACCATATCACAGTTTTTCTCGCTAATTACTTTATATTTAATTATGGTATCCCATTTTTTAGATCAACCTACTTTGGTTTTTTGTTATTGATGAAGCATTTATTTATAAAACTGAAATATTTGGTTTTCCTTAGGCTTTACAATTGTCCTTCTTAGTGATTTCACAAATTCTATCAGTTCTAAAGTTTTACTCAGCAAAATAAATAATTTAAAAATGGTTTTCATTGTCTCCTATTTTTCAAGACATCCTTCCAATCTGAAAACCATAGAAACATTTGGTCTAGCAGATGGAAGGAAGGTTGAAGATTTAGTGTTTCGATGAAGGTTTCGGGCTAAACCCGATTTTTTTGTTTTTCATACGTCCCGTTTTATTTGAATGAATGATCTAAGCCAAATACTTAAACAATGATAAGAGTTGCTCTTTTTAAATCATGATGCATATAATTCAGCTTCTGAGTGTAAGCATGTGGTGCCAATGAGAAATGTTGAGACATTTTTTTTCTAAAAACATTATTGTTCTTGTAATTATCATTATTTAAAAAATAAAATCTGGAATGATTCATAACACAACACTAACATACCACCCTATTAGAAGAAATATATTTCTCAAAAAGTTATTTAACCTGGAAAATATTACTTTAATTATAAATACAATTTCCTTTTTTTTTAGGAAAATTCCATTTGAAAATTTCCCATTAATATAAGTATAGATTTAGTGTTGGAGATTGACTGTAACAATTGTTATTTATATACATTGCAATTCTTCTCATATATTTCTACATATATTTAAAATTTTTACTCGAAACCCATTCGTTCCAAGATTATTGGAAAATGATCAAAAATAATCAATATATATATATTCATTTATTTAAATAAAGAAACATAATAAAATAAATAAAAGTATTCATTATCACGTACACCAATTAAAATTCATTAGCTTTTAGACAACCTCTATTACCTTATATGATAAATAGTGATTTTTCAAAGAACTTTAGCATTCATATGGTTGGGCCGTGGAGGAAAGCCAAGGGACCTAGTGAAAAATTTTCTTGGCTGCTCATCAAATATTAAAGCCCACGATTTTGCTGCATAATGTATGTCACAAAAATGTTATGTGAAGATATTACGTAATAATTTTATAACCTATGTAATACTTTGTTTTAAAAAAAAAAATAGAAGCTAAAAAATAAAACCTGGTCGTGATGGACACCCTATGGTCACAGCGCTCCTTCCCCTTTCGGCAGGTCAGTCAAACAGTATATAATATATCTATATATATTATTCCTCTTTTTTGTGAACTTTTTTTTTAACTACAAAAATAGTTGTCTATTTTCTCCTTTAGTTAATTATAAAATTATTTCATAATTCAGATTTCGTCGGCACCATGTTATAGGAACGAATGTATATAGTTGGACAGGTCAACAATTGTTACATTAACATGGTGATGACGATATATCCACTTTATATTACTTCTAATAAACAAAATTAAAGGTACTTTGGAGGAAAGGATTCTGAAAATTTATCATTTAAGCTCCTTCAGAATATTCTAATTAGTGTTGCCCAAATGCGAGACCGAGACGGGTCTTGGTCTTGCAAAATCAGTCTTGGTCATGGTTTTGGTCTTGCGCAAGGCTCTCGCAATAGTCTTGCATTTATTTATTAGCTTATTACTATAGAGATATTACTGTAATTTATTAGACAGGATCAAATAAGTACGAAATAATATCGGAAATATGGTGTAACATAAAGAATTCGCCGTTTTAACATCTTACTTTGCCATCATACACTGAATCCTAAAGGAATTTT